TCAGGTAAGACCAGATGAGGGGAGCAGTTAAGCCAAGGCTTCAAAGATGGATGAGATTTTCTTCAGTTGATAAATTGGAAGGAAGAGAGGCAAGTCATAGAGGCATGAGAGTTTGGGGGTAATCCAAGTATGTTAGTACTCTGGAGCATAAAGAACATGGGAAAGAGCATGTGATTAGAAAGAAAAGACATAACAGTTAGTACTCACCCCCTGCTTTTCCCACCCTAAAACAGATCAGTTTTGCAATGAGAAAGAGGAAGTGTAGTGCTCTATTAAGGGCTTCAGACTGCAGCTCCCCAGGTTTCAAAGGGGCAGATGATGCGTACATTAACAGAGAGAGCTAGATAGCAGCTCCTACTGGAGTGAACTCTCCTATTTATCATTATGCCATGTAACTTGTTTGTGGTGGCTTATAGCTTACAAGTGCTCATAAATGTCTTGTGACTCCTGGTGGTGACAATGTAGGTAAATAGCAAACATGGCAGCAAATGGAATGCTCTGAGTGGTTTTATTAAACTTCAGTGACTTGTTTTACGCTTGTCGAATAGTGACAACGTTTTATTGGACTGAGGAGAAGCAATAATATGCAATTGAGCCATCAACCCAAGATTTATGACACAAGAGCAAGTGGATCTAGACATGGATGTGTTTCTCAAAACCAGAATATAGACTGGGAACTGTTGTCTGAAGAAAAATGGTAGCAACTGATGTTATGTGAGATTTTCATCTTTTTCTAGATTTCTGGGGAAAATGTTGTGACAGGGATAATGCATTTGTGCCTGACCTTTCTTCACCTGCATATACAGCCAGGTACCTGATGGAGTGACACATGGATTGAGTGGCTCCCTCTGTATTCATTGCATTCTTGGTGGCTCTGAGTCCTTGGCATGCATTATGGTTCAGAGGCAATGCGTGGGCTCCATGCCAAATTATCTTGGTCAGCTCTAGTTGGAACTGGCTGGCTGCAGCATTTCTTTAGCCAAAAAATTGCTTGAGAAGATTAACCTCTATACCCCCTATGTTTTGTTTGCATGATAATGCATCTACTTGGCAGTTTTGATGGCTCATATAGTGTTAAGATGATGAAAAGTTAGAGTGGATTGAGCTTCCAGATTTCTTTAAACTGTTCCAGTCTGTCACATGCAGTCAACAATGATATGAGTTGTGCCAACCCCTCAAGGTCGTGACTTTATGCCAGTGCCCTTAATTGTCAAAAATTTTCCTTCCCACTCAAACTTTAAATATCAGGCTTCAAAGTCCTTTTTTTCTTCCGCACTTATAAGAATTGCATTCTGTTTAGTAACTATAATTTCCTTATTTATACTTATGTTTAAATTTATTTGGTACTTATCATCAGTCTCTTCATACCAGACTTCCTACCTCATACATTCTCTGCTATAACTCATCTATTGTTGACTGGATTACATCTTCAGGAAGAGTGTACTGGGGCCTTATTTCCCAATTTTATGCATGTTTGAGAATATCTTTAAGTTGCCTTTAAAACTGAGTAACTTGACTAGAGACTCCTTGGACACATCTAGAAAAGATCTAACTATACTTGAGATTTAAGAGTGTGATAGTCATAATTATAGTAAACATTTGTGAAGTTCTTGCTATGTGCCAGACTATTCTAAGCTCTTACATGAGCTTGCATATTCTTTAGCTCCAATCCAAGGTACTAATGTTATCTTCATTTTAATTGCTAAATGTCATCCAGCTACTAAGTGATGAGATTGACATTCACACTTAAATAGTACTTCAGAGACCATAGGCTTAACTTTCTATACTACCTCTCAAGATAATGTTTAACTGTGTGACCTTGAGCATGCTATTTAACTTCTAGATGCTTCAGTTAACTCTCTATAAAATAATAATACCTCCCAAGGTTGCTTTGATGTTTAAATGAGTTAATACATGTCAGTAGCTTATAACAATGCCTGGCACATAGTACATGCTTAATAATTGTCTGTTGTTCTTTTATTATTTTTCTTTTGTGGATAGTAATTCGCAGATCTGAGCTTTGAACAAACAGTCTGGCCTCTGTAACTGTGCTCTTCAGTACTACAATATAGAATCAGCAATTAAGATGGCATTTTAATTTAGCAGGGAAAATATGGATTATGCAGTAAATAGTGTTGGGATATGGTAGATACTCAGTACTTGTTGAATGAATGAGAGTTTTATAAAAGTATACATATATTCACTTAAATATTAACAAATAGATATTAAGTACCATTTAGATTTGTATAGACAGTTTGGAAATATTTTAGTCTGTTCCACTACAGCAACAAAAATTCCTTAGACTAGGTAATTTATGAAAACAGGAATATTTTCTGACAGTTCTAAAGGCTGAGAGGCCAAGAACAAGGTGGCACAGATTCCATGTCTGGTAAAGTCTTGCTCTCTTCTTGCAAGATGGTGCCCCTTGCTATATCTTCACATGTCAGAAAAGCCAAAAAGGACCAAATTCGCTCCCTCAAGCCCTTTTAGAAGGGGTCTGATTCCATCCCTGAAGGCAAAGTCCCTACCTCCTAATATTGTTGCATTGCGGATTAAGTTTCAATATGAATTTTGAAGGGAATGCAAACATTCAAACCACAGCAAGAAAGAAGCAAACATTAGAATAGATGCATTGTTATCAAATTGTAGGTTATTTTCTGTTTTGAATTTCCTTGTTTTCTTACAGAATTTCTCTAACTAATACAATTCATTACATAATTTCAACAGATAACCACTAAATTGTATTTCATATATATTGAGTTTGAGGTACCTAGAGAAATGACTGGAAGGTCAGAGCTCATACTGAGATTTGGGGACTGTCAAAAGATAATGAGAATACCCACAAGGTGTGTGCAGTGGCACACAACATATAAAGAATAAGCAAAGGAAGAGGGGTTAGCAAACTGGAACTTATTGGAAAGACTAGGTGAAGAGTCAGAAAAGAGAACCCCCAAAATATGAAGCAGTGGGACAGGTGGGGAAAGAAATAACCTGAAGCAAATGATTCGGAAGATCAGGAAAGAATTCACAGCATTTAGGAATGAAAAAAAATATTTGCTGCTGTTAAGCCATTTTATTTATTTACTTAATTGCACTTTAAGTTCTGGAGTACATGTGCAGAATGTGCAGGTTTGTTACGTAGGTATACACTTGCTCTGGTGGTTTTCTGTATTCATCACCCCGTCATCTACATTAGGTATTTCCCCTAATGCTATCCCTCCCCTATCCCCCAACTCCCTGCTGTCCCTCCCCTAGCCCCACATCCCCCGACAGGCCCAGTGTGTGATGCTCCCCTCCCTGTGTCCCTGTGTTCTCATTGTTCAACACCCACTTATAAGTGAGAACATGCTGTGTTTGGTTTTCTGTTCTGTGTCAGTTTGCTGAGAATGATGGTTTCCAGCTTTATCCATGTCCCTGCAAAGTACATGAACTCATCCTTTTTTATGGCTGTATAGTATTCATGGTATATATATATATATATATATATATATATATATATACACACACACACACACATATATGCCACATACAAATCAGTACATGTGCCTGATTTTTTAATGGTCACCATACTAACTGGTGTGAGATGGCATCTCCATGTGATTTTTATTTGTATTTCTCTCATGACCAGTGACGATCTTTTTTTCACATGTTTGTCAGCTGCATAGATGTCTTCTTTTGAGAAGTGTCTATTCATATTCTTTGCCCACTTTTTGAAAGCGTTGTCAAGTTTATAGATGCATACATGTTTAAGAAAATAATATTTGTGCTTTTCCAGAAATACCCGAGGTCAGGAACCTTCTTTTTATCAGCTGTCACAGAGGTAGGCCTTTTGGCATTTTTACCCTTTGCCATTTAGGCTGATCGTTTCCCCTGGTTAAGTACATGTTTTAGGTACCTCTGAATTCCTTTACTACAAACTTTGGCCAGAAGACTCTTATTTTAATCTTAACTAATATAAAATACTATAGGAATACTCTATGATCTTTTAAAATTATTTGTCACACTTCAGAAGTATAACTAGGCTGAAGTAGGCTGATGATATTAAAAGACTCACAGTTTTAAATGAATTTATTGGCAAAAAAGAGTGTCGACAAAAGTAAATCTTCCAGTTAATTCACATTTACATGTTTAAGCTGAATTATTTTTCATTTTTGCTCAATATAAATAAAGTATATTGTTCTATGCCTTACTAACATATCTGTGGTTGAAAATCATTTTTGTTGGATATTACATTTATGTGCCAGGCCTTTTTAAAGGCATATGTAGTTTCCTTTACACAAAGTGACCCAGGCTGATGTGTGATGGGTATTATCTGTACTTCTATAAGTCTTCTATTCTTTATTGAGTACTTCTTTCTGTTTTAAGTCTGTTCTTCCTTTATCATTATTTCTGTTCAAGGTATTTTCTCATGTGTGTACAAAATAAAACAGGCGTTAAATTCAGTACAATAAATGACTTTTTTTTTTACGTGCTCTTCCCAAGCATTGACTCCTTTAAGACAGAACCAACTCTGGAATTTTCCAGTAGAACTAAGCATTTAGATTTTTTTAAAAGTTCTACTTCGGAGGCCTCTTCAGTTCTTTAGTCTGTATCTGTTTTCTTGAAGGCAAAGATGGCAGAAAGAAAAGGTTTTACTAGAACTTGACCACCTCATGCAAACAATGCTTGTAAGTAACATGTAATTAATCTTGAAAAGACATCTAAAGGCAATCTGATACTGACACCATTAAGAAGATGGACAGAAATCTTGTGCAAAAGATTTTTAAAGCAGCCCCAGGATTGATTCTTCAGCTATGTTCACCTCATTTAGGCTCTAAAGGCACAGGTAAAGTACTGAGCAGTTTTATAGCTTCACCGACATTCAGCCATGCCAGGCAGGAAGCTGTCTGAGTCACACGCTTGCTGATGTGTATCTAGTCTCTGTTTCAGTTGTCACTGCATAGAATTTCCAGTGATTCTTAGATTTAATAAATAATTTTTACTCATTTCGGTTCTTTTAGGGCAGCATAACTACTTATGTGCTGGAAGAAATGACTGCATCGTTGATAAAATCCGCAGAAAAAACTGCCCAGCGTGTCGCCTTAGAAAGTGCTGTCAGGCTGGCATGGTTCTTGGAGGTAACTCTGATGTATTCATCAGTAATATACTGCGTAATCTTTATACTGTAAAACTGCGTGTCAGAAAATCGTAATTTCTTATTCATCTTGGTTTTGTTTTTTCCGTCTTGGTTACTGGCAGTGACTCTGCACATATGAGTGTCTGAATGAAGCAAGCAATACCATTCCATTAACTTTACAGGATTCCAGCACATTGCGGTCTGTTATGAGAAGAAAACTCCATTCATCTATATTACCTATAAGTAGAGGTTATGGGCAGTGCACTGACCTGTCCTTAAGTAACATGTGTTGAAGTCTAGGCTTTGCCACCCACGTCCTGTGTGACCACAGCCCTTCCTGGGCATTAGCCTACTTATCTATAAAACAAGAGCATTAACGTTCCTTTCAGCTCAAAAACTGATTCTCCAAGTGATTAATTAAAGCAAGATTACTGGAATTGGGGTAGGAATCCATCTGATGAAGAGTTATATTAATAAATCCCTTTTCCCATATTTTTGTTATTATTGGAATCTCTAAAACTTTCAGTAATATAGCACACATTTAAAAAATTAATGTCAGATAATCACAGACAGTTTGAATGAAAACATAACAGAGTAAGGGACATCAAGCAAGCCACGGTTATGCAAGACAATCCTACTCCCTGCGTTTTTTCACTTACCAACACCCTGCACAACACTGTCTTGAAATGGTGGCTTTTACATCCAGATAAAACTTTTTAAAACATAATAGGCCGGGTGGGGTGGCTCAAGCCTGTAATCCCAGCACTTTGGGAGGCCGAGGCGGGTGGATCACAAGGTCAAGAGATCGAGACCATCCTGGTCAACATGGTGAAACCCCGTCTCTACTAAAAATACAAAAAATTAGCTGGGCATGGTGGCGCATGCCTGTAATCCTAGCTACTCAGGAGGCTGAGGCAGGAGAATTGCCTGAGCCCAGGAGGCGGAGGTTGCAGTGAGCCGAGATCGCGCCATTCCACTCCAGCCTGGGTAACAAGAGCGAAACTCCGTCTCAAAAAAAAAAAAAAAAAAAAAAAAAAAAAAACAAAAAAAAAAACCATAATAAAAATATTACATAATCGTTAATGCTAAAAATGTTTCTTCAGTGCACCAACTATAAACAGCTTGTGTTCCATAACGTTATGTGTATCTTCCTTCGGGAAATACTATACTTAGACCAATGCTTGTCAAGTTTACAGAATATGCAGATGTCATCTCTGTTTTTGCAAACATGCTGGGCCAAAATTAATCATCCGGGTAACATATTGGGCATTTTATAGTAATTCATGTAATTAGATCACTCATAGAATTTTATAATTTCTGGATTAAAGATTTGTTTTCCCTAACTTAAGGGCAGTGATTAGGTTGGCAGTAGTGCCTGGCTTATGAAGGTACCCAATAACGTTCTATTAACTAAATAAACCCACACTCTCAGCAGATTAAAATTGTTTTTTAGGCCTACACCTCAATTACCATCTCCTTGTATTTCTGTTTCCACTCAGAAGTCTTAAGGAACCACCTAAATTTTAGAAAATACAACTTTCTCACAAAAATCACGTACCTACTCAATGTAGGAGCTGGAAGAAAGACCTGAAGGTATTCTGGCTCTGGCACAGCCACTATTTTCTCCTCAGCATGATTGCCTTAGAAAATAGCAGAGCCTCTAATGCTGAAACTTAGATTCCATTAAGATCTTTACTCTTTAGTGTTTTCCCAAGGACTTGAAAAGACTCCAATTTTATCAAAGAATAGAAATGGTAGAGTTCTGGATAGAAGCTTCAGAATATTCCTGGGGATCAACAATACAACCTAGAGAATATTATGTTATCTCATAATATTCTAGAGCTTTAGCATATTATTTATTTATTTACTTATTTTTGAGACAGAGTCTCACTCTGTCACCCAGGCTGGAATGCAATGGTGCGATCTCCGCTCACTGCAACCTCTGCCTCCCGAGTTCCAGCAATTCTTCTGCCACAACCTCCCAAGTAGCTGGGATTTCAGGCACCTGCCATCATGCCCGGCTAATTTTTGTATTTTAGTAGAGACAAGGTTTCACCACTTGGCCAAACTGGTCTGGAACTCTGACCTCGGGTGATCCACCTGCCTCAGCCTCCCAGAGTGCTGGTATTACAGGCGTGAGCCACTGCATCCGGCCTTCAGTACATTGATCAAGTATCTATAATCCTTTATTATCTTCTCTAACCAAACTGCTTGTTACTTCAGCCTGTTATTCCTGTGCTTCTCAAACCATACTCTGCAGATTTGACAGCTATTGCTACATTCTCAACCTTTTATATTACTTATTTGCTTAACTCTAATCAATCAATCCTTCCCTCCCTCCCTCCCTCCCTCCCTCCCTTCCTCCTTGTCCCCCTTGTCTTCTTTTCATTTCCCTCCCTTCCTTCTTTCCCTTCCTTTTTCTCCTTTCCTTCTTTCCTTCCTCCCTCTATCACTTTCTAACTTGCACCCCATCCCTCTTCTTCAATAACTGTATACTGAGCCCTTTCTAGTTAACAGATGGCATTCTAAGTTCTGGGCATATAGCCTCAAACAAAATGGACAAAATTCCTGCCCTCACAGATCTTACACTGTGGGAGGAGGAGCAACAAATACACATGTCAAATCGTGATGAGTGTTGTGAAAAGATGCTAAGCACAGTTAGTTAGCAGGCATTATCGGGAAGGGGAATCACTTCTGAACTCATTTGTCTAATGAACATTTTTGTTTTACTTAGCTTCTTCCTAAGCAACAATATCTCTGAAATCATGGATTTGATATGCCATTTAATGTCTTTTTCTAAAAGACATTAAGATAAATTCTTAACTATTTAAATACATATTTAACATATCACCTAAAAACCGTGTGTGTACCATAAATAAGTATGTGTTACACTCTGGGAAAGAGTGTATTAGATCATTTTTTTCCAACTATCATAGCTATGTTTGTTTTTTTCAACTTTCATTTTCGCTTCAGTGGGTACATGTGCAGATTTGTTACCTGGGTATATTATGTGACACTAATGTTTAACGTGCATCTGATCCCATCACTGAGGTACTGAGGTACTGAGCATAGTTTTTCAACCCTTTCTTCCTCTCCCTTCCTCCTCTAGTAGTTCTCAATTTCCACTGTTGTCATTTTTATGTTCATGAGTTCTCAATGTCTAGCTCCCACTTATAAGTGAGAACATGCAGTATCTGGTTTTTGTTCCTATGTTAATTTGCTTAGGATCATGGCCTACAGCTACATCCATGTTGCTGCAAAGGACATGATTTTGTTCTTTTCATGGCTGCGTAACATTCCACGATGTATATATACCACATTTTCTTTGTTCAATCCACTATTAATGGGCACCTAGTTAATTCCAGGTCCTTACTATTGTGATTAGTGCTGTGATGAACATGTGAGTGCATGTGTCTTTTTGGAAGAACAATTTGTTTTCTTTTGAATATATACCTAATAATGGGATTGCTGGGTCTAATGATAGTTCTAAGTTCTTTGAGAAGTACTCAAACTGACTACTACAGTGGATGAACTAATTCACATTCCCACCAACAGTATATAAGTATTCCCTTTTCTCCACAGCCTCACCAGCATCTGTTAGGTTTTGAGGCTTTTTTGGGTTTTCTTTTTTTATTTGGACTCTCACTGTGTCACCTAGGCTGGAGTGCAGTGGAACAGATGATGGTTAACCGCAGTCTCAATCTCCTGGGCTCAAGTGATCCTCTTACTTCAGCATCCTGAGTAGCTGAGATGATAGGCACGCACCACCGTACCTGGCAAACTTTTTATTTTTTATTTTTATTTTTTGGTAGAGATGAAGTCTCACTATGTTGCCCAGTCAGGTCTCAAACCTATGGGCTCGAGTGATTTTTCCCACCCCAGCCTCCCAAAATGCTGAAATTACAGGTGTGAGACACCATGCCTGGCATGAGTTTTTAAAAATATTCATTCTGACTGGCGTAAGATGGTATGTCATTGTGATTTTGATTTGTGTATCTCTAATGTTAGTGATGTGGAACAGTTTTAAATGTTTGTTGGCTGCTTGTGTATCTCCTTTTGAGAAGTGTCTATTTAAGTATTTTGATTTTTTTTTTTTTTTTTTGGTGATACTGTTTTTTTGTTTGTTCAACTGTTTAAGTTCCTTAAAGATTCTGGGTATTTGACGTTTGTTGGATGCATAGTTTGTGACTATGTTTTCCTATTTTGTAGGTTGTCTGTTAACTCCATTGATAGTTCATTTTGCTGTGCAGAAACTCTTTTGTGGAATTAGGTCTCACCTGTCAATTTTTGTTTTTGTTGCAATTGCTTTTGAGTCATAAATTATTCCCCAAGGCTGATGTCCAGAATTACATTCCTTAGATTTTCTTTTAGGTTTCCTATGGTTTAAGGTGTTATATTTAAATCTTTAATCCTTCTTGAGGTCATTTTTGTATATGGTGAAATGTGATGGGAGGGGCTGCTGTGAAGATCTCTGAAATGCCCTGGAGACATTTTCTCCATTGTCTTGACTGTTAACTTTGGCCTTCTCTTTACTAATGCAAATTTCTGCAGCAGGTTCCAATTTCTTCCCAGGAAATGTTTTTTTCTTTTCTACCACATGGCCAGGCTTCAAATGTTACAATTTTTTTTTTCCTCTGCTTCACTTTTAAATGTAAGTTTCATGTTTAGATAATCTCTTTTTCATGAATATGAGCATACCCATTTAGAAACAACCAGGTCACATACATCTTGAATGTTTTACTGCTTAGAAATTTCTTCCACCGAATACCCCAAATATCCCTCTCAAGTTCAAAATTCCACAGATCTCTAGGACAGGGTCAAAATGCCACCAGTGTTTTTGCTAAAGCATAGAAAGAGTGACCATTATTCCGTTCCCAATAAGTTTTTCACTCCATCTGAGACCAACTCAGCCTGGACTTCATTGTCCATATCGCTGTCAGCATTTTGGTCACAACCATTTACCACGTTTCTAGGAAGTTCCAAACATTTCCAAATCTGTCT